GGGTCTTAGCATCTCCAGTTCCCTTGCCCTTCTTCAAAGACACTGACATCATGGGCTTGGTGGGCGAGGCTTTGGATTTCGCAGGCGGCGTGCCAGGAAGCATGAGGGTCCTGTCACTATCGGCATGATAGAGGGGGTCACGTTGGGCATCCTGGCTGCTCACATGAAAGCTTCCAAGATTTCTGACCACTTTCCCGGCCACATCACATGGATTCCCAGGCAACGACACAGCTGTCGCCGGGGCACCTCAATTCACTAGACCATAGACTAGTCGGTGCATACAATCATGAATAGATATGCATGAGTAATCAAGAGTGCAACAGTTTGATCTGGTATGCATGGTGCCTGGGACTGCAGGCTCATCAACCAGTGTGCTGGCGGGCCGTGAGAGGGCCGATTGCAATGAAGCAATCCGAGCTTTGGCAGCCTGGGATCAGGAGGAAGTTTGGCTACTCAAGGTAAATTCGTGGCTTTGGGGTTTAAGGCTTATCGGGATTATTCTTATAGGGATTTATATAGTGTTATATATATATATAGGTTTTTTATCACATGGTTTAGTTGGTCTACACTTAAGACTTCTAGGCTTCCGAGGTCAATGCGACCCTGCTTCATCTGAAGATTTTGGGGTTCAGCTAGGGCTTACTTAATATATTGCGGATAAATGACTGCGATCTTGCTTGCCAAGTCCTCACCTGACACTCCACCTGCCATCTGTTGCACCATGGCGAGCCCTGCAGATAAACTCTCACAAGACAACCGGCGTTCGGCCATATCCATCCACCTAGGATTGCAGTTCCTTGATCATATGCAACCAATAACATCAAGATAAGTCGCTTGCATGCAGCAAGCATCATGATATGCAGCCCCCATACGACGTGGCAGTGCAGCTATTTTGGCAGCAGCATATCGAAACAGCTGCTTGTAATTACGAATTGCACAGCTGTCTAGGCACTCGAAGCTGAAAGTGCTCGGGCTATGGGCTGTTTTGAGGAGGGTTCGAGCAGATTTTAGATATGCGCCCGTATGCGCAAATATGCGCCCGCTTTGCGGGAATATGCGCCCGAAATGCGCCCTGCCATTTTGCATCCCTGACACCAAAAAGCGTTGCCCGAACACTTAATATCGAAACTGCTCGAGCCACCCTCTTATCCTAGGCTGGATCACTATTGGCCCCGGTCTGCAGATCCTGCAGCTCCTGGCGAAGGGAAGCAGCTCCACACGCCTTTGCGGCTGTTCTGGATTGGCTGAGGGATTTGGGCCGGGACCCCCGGCCCAGTACTAATTTATACTACCAGCACCCGAACCCCGGCCGACCCCGGCCTACCCATCGTCTCCTAATTTGTCCTGTAGACAGTCATTCCCGGCCCCCACAACCCCCTTCTAAGCTATTCCAGCACCCGGCACCCTGACCCATAAAACACTTACGATTTTAACAGGCACCCCAGACCCGGACCCCAATCTAGTCTTGTCGGGTTTAAGGACTTAGGGGTTTTAGGGTTTAGGGTTTATGGAGGAGCAAGCACCCACGGCCCATTAGTCACACGTCCGGCCTTGGCCGGTCAGCTCTACAACAATGCTTAATTAAGCTTATTTGGTTTTGAAGTAGGATATTTACCAGCTGATACAGGATCCCGGCAATATAAGATTTGCAGGATAGATAGGTATGTGTGTATATGCATGTATACACATACATATATGTGTATGTAGAATATATATATATATATAGTATGTATATATATACATATTTATATATATATACATATATATATATATGCACCTACCAGTAGATCTCTATCTACATATCTATATATACTGTATATCCATACCTGCATCCATGATGCTCCCTATCCATATTTATATCTATACACACATCTAAAAGAATAAAATATCTTAGTACATGTGTATGGGAATGGTGGCCACGATGATGCTGACGATGATTATGATGATGGTTGTACACATGATGATGACGATGAAGGTGATGATGGCGATGGTGGAGGTGATGGTGGCGGCGATGGTGATGGTGATGGCGACGGTCACAGTGACGGTGGTGGTTTGTGTTGATATAATCAGGATGACGATGAACATGATATACAGTTTCATTCTTAGCATACATGATAATGGATAGATAGGTAGGTAGATAGATCGACATCATTGGGTGGATGGTATAGTACAGATCGATATATATATATATATATGTATGTATATATATATATATACATAGGTAGTTTCTACAAATATAGATGGAAAGTTTCGATAGAGGTGGATATAGATATATGGATAAACACATAGATAGATCTATTAGGTTGGGATCTCAGTTTCCAGTGAAGCTATCTAGTTCCCAGTGCAAAAGGCACATATCGATCTGAATTCAGCAAATCTGCGGTCTAGGTGTTTTAGCAGTGGTAACAGGGTCTGAATTAAGAAACATAATCCGTGGAAGATCTATATAGCACTACCCTCTTGAAACAAATTAATGTTTTACATATATAATTAAGAGATAGATATAGCTTGAGGGTTTGGGGTTTAATGTTTGGTAGATGATAGTTACATAGGTAGATAGCAGATACACTTAAAGCCCCGGCATCTACATCCAACCTGTAAGCCCTGCCCCATACAAGGCGACCCAAAAGCCTCCTTATCTCAAGCCCGGCAAAGCCCAATAAAGTCGGCTTACTACAACAACCATACTACAAAGGAGAGCCCTGGCTCGAATCAGACATCCTATAATACCTAACTATATGAACCCAGTGAATTAAACTTATAGCTGCCAATGGCCGGCTAGCCTAGAAAAGCCCTGGAGCACCTGCTCGGAGATCCCAAACCCGAAATCCCCATAAACACCTTGAGCCCTTAAATTACACAAGCCCACAACCATGAAACCGTAATGGACAAGCTGCCGACTCCTGCATTTCTTTGACGAAGCTCTCCATGACCAGCGACCAGCTGTCTGGGATCCTGGGCCGAGGGTTGGAGTTTGCAAGGGAAGATTATAATTTAGGGTTTAGGGCTTTAAGGTTGAAAAGATTATTTTCATCTAGGTATAATAATTACGATATATTTGCTGGGCCATTTACTGATAAAGGATGAATTGGCTGGCTTTGACATCCAAGCTTCCTGATATGCTTCGACTTGTACAAGTAGAGCACAGCTTCATGGATCCCGGAATCCAACCACATATCAGAAAGCTGCATGCTTTCAAAGAGTTCCCGATCTGTTCGCAAGCCCTTCACCTTCCTGCGGACACGAAGATCACCACGTTCTGTTGTAGGGCTGGCAAGCCAGGTTTCATACACTTGCAGCAGGCTTTTTGCGAAATCCCGCGTGTATATCCTAAGTTCGAATGATCACTGGTGCAACTAATAGTATGACTCGGCTTGCTTATTTAGCATATAAAATTTTTGGGTTCTATAATTTATAATATTTAACTAACAGAAACCGTTCAAGAATCAGCAGCGGAACCCGGATTGCTTCAGCTCTGCCTTGTTGCCCCGGAAGCAGGATTTCCCTGACTTGTCGATGTGTCTGCCTGGGTCGGAGGATGCTCTAACTATCTTTGTGGGGCTACAACATCGCTACAATTCAGACAAGTGACTGACTGTGTTCAAAGACAGGGAATCTCGGGCTGCTTTGGGAAGCGTTCCACGATCCAGTTGACCCACTGGCTTCATGGGGCTGTACACGATTGTAGGTTTTGGGCTGGCGGCACCGTGGTGGGCCATCCAAAAGCTTGTTTCCCGAACCTAGGTATTGCCGATCGACTGCACATCCATGGCACCGACACAACAGCGAATTTTGGCTGCATTCATTCTAAAACAAGCGAGGCACATACACCACCTGGTTCACAAACCATTCCCAGCGACGGGATCTATATAGAAGACTGCATCGGGGCTGCTCCACGACGAAGGTGGAGTGCATGCTGAGGGTCACAACCAGCAGCAAAACCAGCCTCAGTTCAGTGAATGTATTGGCTGGCTGGGCCATGGTGGGATTTATGAACCTTACATATATGTCTTGAAGCTGCAGGCTAGGGGCCGGCTGATCAAAAGATTGTTCCGGGACACCCAGTCCGACTGCAAGAACCCATTGGGATTGATGAAGTTCCTTCCCGACGAAGCCCTAGCCACCAAACCCCATGAAGAACAGTCAGGGCCACATATGAGTATGCCGTCGGGGAGCATGTTCAAAACAATCCACAAAGCCAGCCTCAGACAGTAGCTGCTTGTGGGGATTTCGTTTGGGTTCAGGTGGGAGCCCCTATCCAACTCAGCAATTCATGTCTTGGTAGCACAAAGCCACAGTTGGAACAGAAGTCCATTGGATGGCCGCGCGTTTTGTCATAGCTGGCCACACTGTAGCCGTTCTCAGTCCTGATACGACACATGCGTCATCCTATTGCTCTATATAAAGCTGAGCAAGCGTTCTATTTGTGCAATCGATTTAAATTTAGGTGCAGCAGAGAAACCAAACCTTGGACACATTAGCAGCTCCACAGAACAAGTCGAAGAGCTGGTATCGCGGCTCAAAAGTCATATTCGTCATCCACCGTGTAAGCAGTACCTAGGTGGGGATCAGCTATTTCTTGTTATTCGATCACACCATGTACCCATGGAAGCTGCACTGCACTTAAAATATGCCAAGGACCATGGCAACCAACACCTCGGCTCGCCCAACAAAGTAGGAACACAACACCCCTCACAGGGCATGTATAGGAACGAGGTTTTTTTTTAAGGTAGGGTTTATGGGGGTTATAAGTCGTGGTTGGACTGTGGGATAGAGCCTATATGAATAGAGATAATCTGGGTATGGCACAAGAGTAATCTTAAGCTCAATGCAGACAAATGGCTTTGGGTGCCCCTAGCTCAATCAAGTTCGCAATCGTAGAGGGTTCCATGGCCCAGCAGGGACAAATAAGCCGGGATACGTTTGAACAAGCAGCCACTTCGGACAGTGCAAGTTTCACATGTTTCAGGGCTCGAGGCTTCCCACTCCATGGCCACACAAGCAAACTGATACATGTTTCGGTGCAGGAGAGCTTCCCGCCTTGTATGGTCGCTCGAATTTTCCAGCCTTCTGCTGCTGGAGCAAAGCGTGGCGGTCCACTTGGCATCCTGGCAACAAGTGGACATCCTAGATATATCCGAGTTGCAACCTATGCGACACGTAGCAACCGATGCACTGCAGCATGCGTTTTGTTTTGGGCATCCAGGCGAGGGACTGCGCATCAGATAAATTGCGATGTTATCACCGCATACTATCGGAAACTCAGGATCGAAGCTTGATCTCAAACTTGTGCCCCCCCCACGGCATGCTTTGCATGCCAAAACCCGACAAAGGCAGGACCCTAGCTGGATCATCATTTATATATGTACAAGTCTGCAACAAGCACTATTTGAAGCTACGGCCAGAAGTCGAAATAGCCCAAAGCTAGCGGCTTTAATCTGCCTTTGCACTATCTACCCTCGGATCAAAAGCAAGTTGGCTCGCTTTGGCAATCGTCGGTCATCCAAGATTCACTCGGTGCTCTTGTATGCCTCAGATAGGAAGGGTCAGAGGCTTCAGGGTTTTGGGTTCAGGGTTTGGGGCTCTTTGTGGGCTTGGGCTTGTGATTAACAACTTGCTTCCATCATATACATCTTAGATGCGGCTTTGGCAGCTGCAATCGCCTCATCGACTGTTGCTCCGTTCCTCATGGCTTCGGTCTTTGCCTTGTGATAAGCCACACTTTTGCGTGACTTGCGCTTCTTCTCCTCCTCCTCTGACAAACGTGGCTTTTTGGGGGCTGCCTTTGGCGCAACCTCCTGCTCCGGATCCTTCTTCGCACCACCACCTTTGGAGGTTTTCGGGGATGCTTTTGCTTTTGCCTTGGATTTCGCTTTTGCTTTCGCTCGTGCTTTGGCAGCCGGTGCTGGCTCCTCTGCAATCTTAGCCTTGGCCTTGCTTTCCTTTTTTGGCTCATCCTTGTCTGCAACTTGCTTGGCCTTGCTTTCCTTCTTTGGCTCATCCTTGTCTGCAGCTCGTTTGGTGGAACTGTTTCTTGGGGAGTGCACAGGCTGCGTGCTAGCACGTCCACGGCCCCTTCCCCTCCCTCCTCTGCCACGGCCACGGCCCCTTCCCCGGCCCTTTGTTTTCCCTCCACTGCTACATGCATCCGAATCATGCTCATCATCATCTGCATCGTCATCGGACTGAGGCCTCTTGCCCTTGGCACGACTCTTCGGATTCGCAACTGCGCCTGACTTCTTCGTCTGGTCGGCTGGGCTGATGGCAGGCAAGGTCTTCACCGGGCACGGTTCAACCTCAATTCAGGAAGAGCAATTGGTGAGTATGTTGACTATAAAGCTATGAGCATGCTTTAGTTGAATTATATATTGTAGCCTAGCAGCTTCGGAAGCCTTAGGATCCTCTGCTGGGGCTTCATCTGCAGGGACCGTAGCCTTGTCGATCGAAGCCGAGGTAGAAGCTAGTGGGGGATTGATATCCAAGAGCATCGGCTGCGTCTCCATATTGTCCATGCCTGCATTTGCAAGCCATGTGACTGTTAACTTTTTTTGCATCCAATCACACGTATAGTTATGAGCCATGACCCACACCCCTCAGTGCAGCACAGGCACTCGCTGACACCAGCATCGTGGCTTCAACTTTGGGCTTTGCGACTTCGGTGCTTTCCGGGGCTGTGACTTCGGTGCTTTCCGGGGCTGTGACTTCGGTGCTTTCCGGGGCTTCGACTTCGGTGCTTTCCGTGGTTGCGACTTCGGTGCTTTTCGGGGCTGCCACTTCGGTGCTTTTCGGGGCTGCCACTTCGGTGCTTTTCGGGGCTGCGACTTCGGTGCTTTTCGGGGCTGCGACTTCGGTGCTTCTGGGGGCTGCGACTTCGGTGCTTTTCGGGGCTGCGACTTCGGTGCTTCTGGGGGCTGCGACTTCGGTGCTTGTCGTGGCTGCGACTTCGGTGCTTCTGGGGGCTGTGACTTCGGTGCTTTTGGGGGCTGCAACTTCGGTGCTTTTTGGGGCTGCAACTTCGGGGCTTTTCGGGGGTGCAACTTTGTGGGCTGCTGCTGAAGTAGCTGCTTCGTGTAGCTTCAAAGCCCTCTGTTGCTGAAACAACCCCTCCAGCTGAAGCTCTTCCATCTCAAGATCGTGTAAAATCTTCATTTGCTCGAGCTCAACAGCCTGAGCTTGAAGCTGTTCAAGCTCCTTGGCCATCTCGCGTGCCACCTTCTCATCGAACTCGATTTGGGTCTGCCTATGAATGCTCTTCGTCGTGGGGTCCATATCCATCCTTTCAGGGCTAACCTTGCCAGGGAGGCATTCTTCCGATCGGATCATCCGGATGTCACCAGCAAGCCCGCAGATGAGGCATGCATACCCGGATCTGCGGTCTTTCACGGTGTAGTGTAGACCCTTTGCTCGGCTGTCGGACATAGGCGAAAGTGGCTCACCTAGGATAGCTAGTGCTAGCAGGGCATCCAATATCCAAGCACCATTCTTACAGGAGTTCAACATGGTTCTGCAAGCATGTGACACACACACACAACGTGCTATCTTAATTTTACATACATATATATTTACATGCATACATGCATGCATATACATATATACACCCATACATGCATATACACATACATAGAAACTTATATACACATGCCTACATTATATACATATATACACACACATCACATCACATCACATCACATCACATCACATCACATCACATCACATCACATCACATCACATCACATCACATCACATCACATCACATCACATCACATCGTAACACGTCACATGACATCACATCATGCACATCTCATATTTCATCACCTCACCTCACCTCACCTCACCTCACCTCACCGCACATATACGTATACATATACACACACATACATCCTTGCATGCCTGCATGTATGTATGCACACATGTATATAAACACATGCACACATAAAAAAGGAAAAAGGCATGCCTACTAGCAAGCTAAAGTGTAACATGTATTTTAGGCACTCGCGCTCGACGAGGCTAACATGTATGAATACAATATGATACACATGGCGCCACACATCCTCATGACATCGTTGCACACCTGAAATCCCGTGGTTCGTTTAGGGTTTAGGGTTTAGCTTAGGGTTTAGGGTTGCAAAGGGTTCGTTTAAGGGTTTAGGGTTTAGCTTAGGGTTTAGGGTTGCAAAGCCAAGATACCCTTGGGCGGCGGCGTCACGATCGTCTCCGAGCTACGTGGCGTCGAAGCATCTGGGCGACAGGAGGCTATATAACTACAGGGTAGAATTTGTAATGCAGCTTGGGAACGACTGGGCAGAGTGGTGCTCCTGGTGGAGCGGGGGCTTTCCCGAACTGTCGGGGTTAGCGGCACTTCCTTGGAGGGCACTGCATCCAGCTTTGCTCGCTTGGGCATTGGCATAGGCTCCTCTGGAACCTAGGCTGACGATCCTAATTAAATAGAATTCAAACACGACCGATCGGTGCATCTCAACTGATTTATATAGGCATGGTTCAGGGATCTCTGGGTCCCCATCCATTTCCGACTCGCTGTCGGAGCCTTCACCATCGGACTCAGAATCCGAATATGATGCCGAACTCCCGGTATCACCATCGTCCTGACCTGCTAGGACTATATGATCGCAGCAGCTGGCTTTAGTACTGCATGTGTCCACACCTACCCATGCTGAATAATACACATGCAGCCAAATTTCAGATCTCCATGCCACAGGCTCGCATCATGTTGCGGAATTCTGCGTCTCTCGGAACATGCGGCCGTTTCACAGCTCTGGAGTAAATGGATATGAGTCTCTTCAATAGCCAGGCTTGTGTTTTCACGTCCTCACCTGGGCATTGGGATTAGGGTTTAGGGGGGTATTTGTATAGGGTTCAGGGTTTAGGGTGGCCAGTACATGGGGGAAAAGCAAAGTGCGAGGAACAGCCACCCAAATAATAATAACATCCAAACTGCAAGCAGGGGTGGCCTTACCAGCAGGAGCACAGCCAGCGTAGAGTCTCTGTAAGTACGTCGCGATGAGATCGACGCTGGGTCTCAACCCTAAGATGCAGCATCAATTTGATGAGCAACATATGAATTGTCGACTGTACGATATGCAAGCTAGCATATATAATCAGTCCAGGGACCCACCAAATTGATCAGGGGGATGAGCAGCTCGCGGTTCAGCACTACAGCATCACGATTCAAGGTCTTGTTTGCAACAATCAGCATACCCTTGGACATGAGTCGTTGCAACACCCATCGGCTTTGCGACCATGCTGTCAGCACGGGGCAGTCCGTTGCCACTGGGGAAACTTCGTCGATTGATCCAGCAGTAGAGCTGGCCATTGTCACAGGAAAGGGCACCTTCGAACCCTACAGTTCTACAACCCGGTATCATACAGACAGCTCACTATATTAACATGCAGCAGTATGCCCAAACTGTAGTCGGATCCCCTAGAGCCCTGCATCGATGCATAATCGAGCGAATGCATGATTTGCGAGCCAACTGTAGGTGGCAGCAGCAGCATTGCATGCATAATCGATTGCACCATGCAGTTTTGCTGTGCATCCAGCGAGCAAGCTAACTCGATCTCGATCACGAATAAACTATGCCAGGCAGACCAATCAAGCACGAAGAGCAAAAGCACCCCAAGCGTACCTCGAGATGCAAGCCAAGGTATGATCCTGGTGGAGACCTTCTGGCTTGGCTGGCTGCGCATGCACGTACATACCTACATATATATATATTACGCATGCACAACACGGGTGGGAGGCGCACATCTCGAAAGCATATGGACCGCGGTTCGGCAGCGATCCAGTGCGAAACTAGAGCCCAAAAGGCTTTTGGTCAGATGATCAGCTTACAATGATCTATATAGATCTATACAATTAACCCGTAAAACCCAAAAGCGCTCGATAAGTAGTCCATAGAAGACAGATACGCACGATTCTTTGCAAATGTGTCCGCACCCCGGCACCCTGTGCCCAGGAAAACGCACAAGTGATCAAACAAGCCTCGCACGGAAATTTCTGCTACAATAGACGCTCCAGGTAATAATAATAATAATCATAATAATATACATAATAACAATAATAACAGAATAATAGCAATAATAATAGTAAGACCGACAATCGTGATAATGATACCAACAGCAGTAGTAATTGAAGGGCTTAGATTTGTGGGGTTTGCGGTGTAGGGGTGTTCCGGGCTAGCGAGTGTTGCATGCGGCAAGGGACCTTGTTCATCTGGCCCGAAACCCAAGACCCAAAAGGTGGTTTAGGGTTCAGGGTTTAGGGTTCAGGGTTTAGGGGTTTAGGGTTCAGGGTTTAGGGTTTAGGGTTCAGGGTTTGGAGGTTAGGGTTCAGGGTTTAGGGTTCAGGGTTTAGGGTTCTGGGTTCAGGGCTTGGGCTTTAGGCTTTTCAGATACAACCGGAAGGCCTGAGAGGGATACTATAGATCCTGGTGGCTCCGAGTGTGAAATCTGGGAGGGGCGGGCGGGTCAGTGTCTAGGGCATTTTCAGGTGGGTAGTTACCGTTATAGGAGCTTTATAGAAGGTCTATATACCTTATATGGAAGCCTTATAGAAGCCCCATAGACCCTAAACTCCCCCCTAAACCCTGAACCCTAAACCCTAGACCCTAAACCCTAAACCCTAAACCCTAAACCCTAAGTCCCTAGACCCTACATCCCTAAACCCTAAACTCCCCACCTGCAAATTCCTTTAACAGTGGAGTCGCAGGTGAGCGGTCGTTCGAGCTCGGCACTATAGGTCGACCGGTTGCTCTGCATGGTTTCGCGAGTGTCTGTCGAAGGCCATGTAAGCCAAATCTGTTTTTTCTCTACATCTACATATATATATATATATATATATAAACAACAGAAAAGGTAATTAGGTACCGGGAGGGGGGGTACCATATATATATATATAGATGACTTTTTATACTTGTTTACACACGCACACTTAATTGCATGCTTATGTTATGGCTCAACAGGAAGACGAGCTTTTGCCACGTGTGTTTCACCAACCATGGACGACGAGCCCCTTTTGGACCTGGAGGATGTGTACAGGCGCCTGGGCTTGAAACAATCTTGGGTTTAGGGTTTAGAGTGTAAGGGTACCCCCAAATATGCTACACAGGGCTTCTTCTTCTGCTCGAACAATCTTGGGTTTTGGGTTTAGGGTTTAGGAGTGCCCCCTAATATGCTACACAGGGCTTGTTCTTCTGCTCGAATAATCTTGGGTTTGGGGTTTAGGGTTTCGAGGTGCCCCCAAATGTGCTACACAGGGCTTCTTGTTCTGCTCGAAGAGATGTCCCGCAACTAGGGGGTAATTGCCAGGCTCTGCGGGTTCAACTGCCAATGCTGCGCACCTCACATCTTCAAACCAATGTGAAAAACAGTCGGATTAGGATTTAGGGTTTAGGGTTTAGGATTTAGGGTTTAGGGTTTAGGATTTAGGGTTTAGGGTTTAGGATTTAGGGTTTAGGGTTTCGGGCTTACCCAGGATTTTGGGTTTAGGTTTGGGGTTTGCCCTTTGCCCTGAACTCCACCAGAAACCCTATAAACCCTCGACCCTAAGCCCTACAAGCATCTAGAGACTTCTTGAGCCCTAAACCCTAAATGCTGTAAGCCCCCTAGAGGATCCTAAAAATGAGGAAGTAACCCTTAAAGGGAGCCAAGAAATGGAGCCTTAAAGGGAGCCACTTTAAAGCAGCCCTTAAAGGAGTCCTGACAGGGCGCCCTTTCAAAGGAGCCCTGAACTTCGGAACCCCTAAAGGAGTCCCAACAGGGAACCTTCAAAGGAGCCCTAAACAGGAGCCCTTAAAGGGAATCCTCAAAACGAGCCCTTCAAGGGAACCCCTAAACCCTGGACCCCTAAGCCCCTAAACCCTAAACTCCTAAACCCTAAACCCTAAACCCTAAACCCTAAACCCAAACCCTAAACCCTGAACCCTGAACCCTAGACCCCTAGACCCCTAGACCCCTCAACCCCTAAACCCCTAAACCCCGAAACCCCCAACGCCTGAAACCCTAAACCCTAACCCTAAACCCTGAACCCTGAACCCTAGACCCCTAGACCCCTAAACCCCTTAACCCCTTAACCCCTTAAACCCCAAACCCCTCAGACCCCAAACCCCAGAAACCCTAAGCCCTAAACCCCGAAACCCCGAAACCCCGCAACCCTAAGCCCCTAAAACCCCTAAACCCCTAAACCCCTAAACCCCGAAACCCCGAAACCCCTAACCCCCGCAACCTAAACCCTAAACCCCTAAGCCCCTAAACCCCGAAACCCCTAAACCCCTAAACCCCTAAAGCCTCGCTTCCCCAGGCCCTTCGAGGATCCCAAGTTGCGGAGCTCGCTTGAGGCCGAGACGGCGACTGCTGAGGCGAAACCGCAGGGGTTTAGGGTTTAGGGTTTAGGGTTTAGGGTTTTTTGGGTTTAGTATTTAGGGCTGAGGGTTTTGCACATAGGGCTTTGGGCTTAGGGTTTAGTATTTAGGGCTGAGGGTTTT